AAAGTCAAATTATAAAAGCCTGGACAAGAGACCTCGGCGAAGTTTAGACCACAAGACCGGGAAAAAGAATCTGGAAATAACAACGACTTTCTGCCGAACATTCTGGAGGAATTTTCAGCGTATTCTTTCTGTTACGGTGAGTGGAAAGTTCACTTCGATACGTCCATGTGCAAATATGTGAGAAATCCGTCTATGTATGCTTTTCCGGGCGAATATTAACTTGTCGTTCTACCGTATTTACTACTGCTCCTATTGTAATCTGAATTAAAATTGACTGTTTTGTGTTTTGGAGTTTTATTTAGGTCAGTAGCGAGGACGTTTTTAGGGCAAAAGGAAAGAAAAATATGTTTTCTATAAATACTATTCTTATTAGCATGGGATTTGTTATTTGAAAGGTGGGTAGTAGATAACGAAAACTTTCCAGCAGAAACTACTGTTTTGTTCGCCAAATATCAACTATTTCCCTCTTCCTCACTAACGTCGTACTCTTTTTTCCAGCAGGTGTACGTTACCACGCTTTCAAGCATCTAATGAGTTCATGTTTTGAGGTTGGAACACTGTCTGTGACACACAGAAAATATTTTCCAACAATTTCTTCGTCATGCTTATACGAGACTCGTAGATCAGGATTTTGTGAAATATCAAGGGTAATGTAGTAGACATCCACTGGTTCTTTAAGGGTCTACGCAGTCACAGTTTTTGTTGTAATGTGCTCTTTGAACCATATAAATTGCTGTAAGTTAGGGTTTACTTAAACGAGTCTAACTTTGTGCTCACTTTTATTCAGGGGTGAGAAACAACTTTGTATTATTTCCTCTTAACAATCTGCACAGACATTTTGAACTGTTTTATGGTAATGATAATTAGTTTCTAAACATGTACTTTGTAAACGCCTTGACCAAAGTTGTGTTGACCGTTTTAAAAAACAATCAACTGGAATGAAACATCTCTTTCTCAAACTGATAAGAGGGCTATATTATTATGCTGGAAGCCTTGCAGATGACTTGCTGCAACACTAAAAGTATCATTTTTAATGACTTTTATGCATCTTACCAATAATATATGAAAATCGAAACCGATGCGTTATTTGTAATGAGCAGACTAATTTTTAAAGACGGAAAACTGGATATTTGGCAGGCATCGTCTACATCCTTTATATGGATAAAAGTATTTTGTTTATTCAACAAGTTCCTTCCTCAACAAATATACTGTTGTATGTAGTCCGAAACGTGGCATCAACAATCAAAACGATAAATTGTGTCACATATGTATTAGATGCTCCTTTGTACCAATATTTGTGTTCAAGTAAATAACAAGTAATGTTCGTAGGGATATTCTCCTCTTTGGCTTCAACATACTTAACACTAACTGGATGAACTTCCCACTTGACATTGATATTTTGACGGTAACTTGCTCTGGATTAAAATTTAGTGTAAACGCTTACATTATCACAGAATCGGAGCGTTCTAACTCCAAATCATAATCATGACCACTATAACTCACTTTCACACATCATTGTAATGATATTACAGATCTTAAAATGTGACATCCCGCTACAAACAACGATCATGCGGAAAGTAACATTTTTGGGACTTTTTGCTCACTCAGGGTTTTGGAGTTTCGGGTTCTGAACGTTATAAGGTCAGGAACCTATGCAAAACAACCATCTCATGATCTACCAACAACAAGAAAAAACTCAGGACGATAGTAGTGTCTTTTTCAAACGACAATTTTTATGTATTAAAAGCAGAAAGTGATGCGTTCCTCTCACTACATCTATATGAAGACTCAGACATATTAAATGGAGTAGGTGTAGACATTTCTCATAGGGATAATATGCATGTATCCTTCCAAGTCTCAACTCTCGGAGGGTCGGGAGGAAGTAGAAGGCTCGCCTGACTGTAGACTTGGTTGTCTATCTAGTACAAAAGTTAAAAGACTGGAAATTTTATTCTGGATAGTTTGCCTGGATGCACTGAATCAGGTAATCTTTTGACTCTCAAACAGCAAGATTTTCCCAATGAATTTTTGTGCCAAACTAATCCATTAGTGGCAGGAGCAGACTTGGTGATAGGTCGAGATATAGGTCTGCTTATGAATAAAAAATATATGTATATGTTTCAACAGTGGAGTTGTTGTGGTGTTTCACCTGGGACACATTCAGATCTCCAAGTTGTACGATGAACGTCTGTCGCGGGCTGAAACCGGAGCGTGAGAGTTAGTGAAACTTTGTCTGTACGGAAGCTCGTAAACGGTGACCCATCGCAGGGTACTACCTTAAGTCACACATGTTTCTTACTTTACGTTAACGAATTGTTGATCGCGCATATGTTATCATTACTCTTTTTCGTAAATAACGTTGCATGTGAAGGGTTGTATACAGCGACCTTGATAGGCTAGAGACCCAAACCAATCTATTTGAAAAAGTCTGATGGTCAAGAAGTTGATGCCTAAAAGTTAAACCTGTAGCAGTAAATAAATTCCAAAAGTAAACATTTCTCCAATTTCTAGGACGAGAAGTGACTAAAGATGCCATAAGTATTCGGAGTTTGACAACTCTTTAACCCTCTACACCTTTTATAAACGGAATATGACAACTTGGTAAAGTCGGAGGTTAGAAGCGAAGGGGTTCGAAGATATATTTGATATAATGTCGATATATCGAGAAGTAAATAATCTAAATTGACTTGTAGCGTAGCGTCGAGTTGAGATTAACTATGAACACCGCTACAGAGAAACCCGTGCCAAGTGTTTCAGAAAGGCGAAGGTTGAACGTAACCAAATAAATCCATAAAATCCGCGAGAAGCCAAATATCAGAAGACAGTTAGTGGACCAAATCGAGATATATTCGCTGGCGATCTCGTGGCATCCAAAGGATACCGAGATCGTGCCAGGATAGAAGCTTGGTTACAGAACGTAACCGAATTCGCGCGCAGTTACAATCAAAGTGTGTGTATAAGAATAGAAGCACAAAATAGCTGTCATTAGCACAGTCAAACAGAAACACGTTAAAACAAACACTGGTACAGTTGGTTATAATAATAATTGTTTTTATTAAACCAGTCGTGTTCTCGTGATAAATGTGAGTCACTAAAGACTACTCGTAGGTGACACGTAGTATGGCGTGCCCAATTATGATCTGATGCAAATACATGAACGAGTGCCTTCAGCTAGGTGAGTTCCTAAAAACTTGTAGTTGGTGTCGTGTCGCGGTTGACTATGATCACCACTACAGGAAGACCACGTGTCAGTTACCAGGTTAGACACCTCTGTAGGCCAAATATCAGAAAGCACTTAAAGGTTGTAGTTAAGATGTATTTGTTGGGGATCTCGTGGTATCGAAATAATACCGAGATCGTACCAAAATCCACAAGCGAGACTACTGAGCGTACGAGAGTTCGTGCAAGTTCACAAACAACGGAAGTGCTTTTTGGTACACTTAAGCAGACAGGTACAGTAAAAAAAATCACTGGTACAGTTGGCTGTGATAATAATTGTTTCCATTATGCCAATCGCATCCTTTATACTAAGGCGATCATTAACAAATATCGAAGACTTAAAGAGCTATTGATCCTGTGAATTTATTTACCGCTACATTATCTTTATTTAGATATAGCATATCTTATTTAAGTATATTCACCCAATAAAAACTATTTTTTGCACATGCAAGACTAAAAATCTCGAATGAACAAATCAGTTATTAGATTTCATTTTTCTCATCAAGCGGTCGACGACACGAACACTGTACCCAAACAAATTTCGCCAATCTTACGTTTGAGCAGGCACAGGATTTTTGACAAAAACATCTCTCAGAAATCACAGTTTAGTTTGGCTACTGTCCTTATTACCGATGACTAACGGTTGGTTGAATGTTTTATGGAAGATTGAAGAGCAATTCGTTACCAGCTTTTGAATGTGTGAGCTACTTGGTAGGTTTGTACAATATGTCCTTATTTCAGGCATATTGCGGTCAGTATACATGTTTTATGAACAGTGGGTAGCTAAAAATTCATATTGTCTTTTTCCACTGTAATATACGACTGTTGTGAATCAAGGTATCTTAATAACGGACGATATGTTAAATAACCGATTGTGAACTTTCCAGAGTTGCCATTTTCATGAAAATTTAAAGGAGACCCTACTTGGAATTTTTCGAAAGCTTTGGGCTACTAAAACTGAGGTCACTTGCTTTTGGGTTGGAGTACTTTCTGGTATGCAGAAACGTTCACATTTTCCTTTATAAATCCATAGGATTTCCGCAGTTAGAATTATATTTTCGCTAGCTCCACAGTCATATGATAATTGTCCACTCATCTCTTTAGAAATTTTAAGGTTCATTCAGTAGTGCTGGTTTATACCCTTACCTACTCGATATTCAATTATTTGATAATTGACAAATACCCACGAATAAGTAGACAATCTTGAAAAGAAGAAATATTTTATGGTGACCGATAAGTTTCATCGATGTGTCAAAACTTAATTTTTCTGAATAATTCGGTATATTACATCAAAATTGTGTACCACGACAATCAGGATAATGAGGAAAGATGATTGACAATTTATATTTGATTACACTGAATTACGTATTCAGACAACATGAAGAAGTTCAGACCTCGCATTTATAGGTGATAGTTATACAGCAACATTAGTTGATTTGTTTGTTACAATTTGTAGTAGTCACGGTACTCTGAATAAAGTGCGAAATCATAATTTATGACTAAACAATATAAATTCGAAAATTACCAATATAATGTGCAAAAGTGGTGCAAATTGGAAAAATGTGTAGTGTAATGAAGGATACTAAGCTTCTTAATCCACTTCATAGAACGTTGCCTCGATGAACGGTGTACACAATCAGACAAAAATGTGAACAAAGTACACTTTTGATGACAGAGTTCATTTGGCAAGCATCGTTATAAATTTACTAAAATTGCAAAAGTCAAAGATTTGTATGCAACAGTTTATTTTTTTTGTCAGTAATGTTTACATATGCTACTCAGTTTAGTTTAGGGTGGTTGAAAAGGAAAAATAAACAATGATTGGTAATTTAAAGATTAGTCCAATTGATGAATTTGGATAATGCAGCACACAGTTTATCAGAATTAATTTAGGCAGTGATAAAATACAGTGCAACAATTTTGAACATAACTTGTTAAGAGGCGCATATATTTAAGGATAAAATGTTAACTAGATAGATAGGGAAATTTATTCAGTTATTTGAACACAAACATTGGTAAAAGAGGGCACCAAATACATATACACCATACAATAACAATGAAAATTTTAAGAATTGGAGAATAAAGGGACAGTGTTCCAGCCCTCACACAAACTGAAAGATGAAATGTAGCACATATATACTTGATACCTTTTTGTAGCAATGTTTTTGTGTTTAAATAAATAAAAATCAATAAATGAAACATAACGACGGTTTGCATGATATTTGGGTTTTGGTGAAGTATGAACTTTGATTTTTCACTAATGATAAACTTGTCCGCTTCGAAAGTTATAATAGTTACTAATTGAAATCTTCCTTTTAGCACAAAACCATTTGCGTCGGTTTCAGTCAGTCAGCTACAACGTAGGACCACGCATATGTATGCATCAGTTCAAGTTAACATACCTCATTAACACAACAAGATGAACATCAACTTCTTAGTGGTTACTTCAGTGTTATTAATATATAAAAGAAAGATTGCATTTAAGAATATAATACAGAAGGAATTAGTTCGTAGAAAGAAAGGTATAAGGTAATTTTAATCTCACGGTTTAGATGAAGACAAAGAGTGTATACACCTACACGATTGTGATGGATTCTGAGCCATGTCACACAGAGTCTCCAACCATTGGTTACGATAGTCACGCGGACCCCAACCAAGTAGTCTGCACCTACCAACATGGTCCGGATCAGGAGTTAGTGACCTCAAGAAGTGATGCTACGTTTTCGTTTGGCCTCCCCAGTCAGCATTGTGCGTCGTGGTAATCGCTGTTCAGGAACACGTAATACGTGACCCAACCACCTCAGTCGATGAAGATTCACAACCTCATCAACTGTTTTAACACCATTCCATAATACTCTACATCTAACCTCACTATTACTTACTCGGTGACCCCAGCAGATGCTGGCAGTATTTCTAAGACATTTGTGGTCAAATACTGGTAGCTTGCAAATATCTCCTACTCTTAATGGCTGCGTTCCACAGACGCAGCTGTTCCCCTCTACCATGAGGACAGTTTCTACCGTATTACAAATTCCATGATCTTGAAAATCATGCCTCCCGAGTTAAGTGCAAGGATATCTTGTATTTATTTCGAATATTGTGATTGACTAGTTGGACGAGACGAAATCAACGCTAAACCATACCAATTAATATCCCTAGTCGGCCAGACTAGTAAGCTAGTTAATATCCATAATGACCTACAAAGATAACCCTCTATCACTGGCTTTTCTTTTTTGCTTGAAATCATTCTTAACATTCCTCTCTTCTATGGCAACTGAAGGGCTGCTATCGATATATCATTTACTTAATTAAGAAAAGTTGATAAGCTGGTTGATGAGACGGAGACTTGTCATCTAATGAAGTAGTTAGGTATTTCACGTATTCTCGACCATTTCCGAACTTAACATGTAATGTTGGCTGGGATAGGGAAACGTTCGTGTTATGTCTTGTGGTTTTGTGCCGTATTATTGTATAACGTAATGATACCCTCAATTAGAGGACAGTAATTTATCGACCGGACCAATGATGCATAAAACCCATGCAAGCAGTCTAGAGTCTTTACCGGTCCTTCTACTTGTGTTCATTGCCAAAAATGATGAATATCAAATGCTAATTTTAGCATTGTTATTGTTTTAGATGACGGTGTATAACTTATATATATATGGAAAAAATGGTGATAACCTATTTTACCGTGAATGGACTCCAACAAAGCAAGGTGAATGTCCATCTGATAACGACTTGAAGTTGATGCGTGGTATGTTAATTGGTCTAAAAGGATTTTGTCAAAAAATTTCACCGTTGGACTACGAAATTAATCGTTTTTCTTACGTTACTAACACATATCGTCTTCATTTTTACGAAACCCCTACACTAATGAAAATTGTTCTTACCACTGACAACTCTTGTGCACCAATGAATGATGAACTTGAAGGGATATTTCAAATATATACAAAATACGTTTCACAAAACCCGTTAATTAAATCCGAAGGACCTATTAAAAGTCAGGTCTTTTCTGAAAAACTTGATCAATATGTTCAGAGTTTGCCTGTATTTAACAAATAAATAACTTTTTACCAGTTGTTTCATTTTAGCTATTTTCACTTTTTCTGTTTCCGTTAAATCAATGATTTACTTCTTACAGGTTGTAATAGTGTTGTGATTGTAAAAGAGGGTTTAGCCACACAATGTTTACAGCTGTACGTACAAATCCATCAGATGGAGAAGTCATAGTAACTGACACATTAAATGCACCTGTTTCCACATGTATTACAAATGTTATCCCGAATTCTATCATATCAAGTGGAGTTGGCGAGGAGGATAACTATTTAACAGGTCATTTAATGGGTGAATACACTGGTCCAGTTGAATCCGTTTTACCTCGAGAATTCAGGCAAAGACTTCATAAACATTTTGCTAGAATCGAACGTGAATTTGAACGAGAGTATAGGAGGTTATATAGCGAAAACTTAGCATGTATGTAAACCAGTTTTATCTTTAATTTCACACGTAGTGTTCCATTTTTTTCATCAATTATTTTTTGAACATATTTCATAGTGCCCCAGAGATAACATGAAATCTAGTAGTAACGTTTTGATTATTAGTATTTAGAAGTGAGACAACTTATCATTTTTAAGCTCTGAACGATTATCTAAGTTGATAATCTAGGTAAATTTTTGTTGAATTGGCAAGTTTATTACGGGGATGACGGATATTTATTAATAATCAAGTCAATTAATATCGTTACTTACGGGCGGTTGTCAAGAATGAAATTATTTGTTGGTCGAAATAATCATATTTGAACGTTTCTACAAAGCAATCTTCAGAAACTAAGACCATTACCAGATAGGTTTATTTCTGCAAAAAATAAACATTTGTATAAATCATACCTTTTTAATCTTCGATATATCTAAGTGAATAACATTTATAAAATTAATTATGAAAGAATTCCAACTTTTCTCACATACCATCTACACATATATTGAATTACTTCAGTTGCTAATAATAGAAGTCGTTTAGTGTTATGCTGTATATCCCTCCCCATGAATTTTAGTTGCATAGTAATACAAAATAGATTTATATGTTGCACCCAATTCCTGATTTGTACTCGTACCGATTAAGATTTCTTTGTTTGTTGAAATATCTTTTGGATCACCAATCTTCTAGAGCTAATATGCAACTCTGGCTAGTATTATTATCATTATTATTTGATCGCAAACATTGGTACAAGGGGGCACCAAATATATATGCGCCACACAAAACAATGAGAGCGGGAAGAGAAAAAAGAGGAAGGTAAGGAGCGTAAAAGAAAGAAAAGAAGAACAATAACGACCAGATTGGTGTAAGGCAGTGTAATAATAATAATAATAATGGGGGAAACGGAAAGGTACAACCAGAAGAAATCTTTCAGCTAAAGAAGATGCAACCACTTTTCTATGAAGAAAGTAAAAGAACGTTACAGCAGGATCACCACTGGTTTCTATTCTGAGCCATATCTGATAACGTCTCTAGCCACTGTGTCGCACCATCTCTTGACCCCAGCCTGGGAGTCGTGAAGGACCAACAGAAGCCAGCCCGTTGCAGCTTTCTTTCATACCCCGACACCGTGTCATACATTGACCACCTCTCCGCTTTTTCCAACCAGTCCCAGCGTCAGCAAATAATGCACGATGTGGAATTCTCTCGGACGACATTCGTAGAACATGTCCAAGACACCGAAGTCGATGTTTCAAGATGGTGACACCAAGTGGATTATCGTCTCTGCTCCCGAACACACGATGCTGAACCTCTGCATTACTGACATGGTGTTGCCACTGGGTGTCAGCAATCCTTCGGAGACAACGAGGATCAAACACAGAGAGTCGTCTAACGTCCTCAACTCGGAGAGGCCAGGTTTCACAAGCATAGAGCAAAACTGCTCTTACCGACGCATTGTAGATCCGACCTTTTACAGCCAGACTAACATCATGAAGGCGCCAAAGATGGACCAGATTGGCATAGGCCGCTTTGGTTTTCACTATATGTGTATTGATCTCATCATTCACGCCACCACCAGCACTTATGCAGCTACCTAGATACCTGAACTTCTCGTCTACTTCTATATGCTCACTGGCTAGTAGAGTGGTCAGCACAACCATCGAAAACCATGTTGTTAGATTAGGTATGGGTGTGAACCCTATTGTCATATTTTTGTTTAGTGTTTGTAAATTGCTACTTTTTGTAACAACACTTAAAAGAAAAGGGTAAGAGTAGTCAATAAAGACAAGAGGATGTTAAATTTAATAAATCGGGCTTAAGTCAATAAACGGGATATTATTAAGAGGGATTTATAGATTTAAAAACTCGTTCCACATCGTTATCATTTATCGATCGCTGATTTCAGACTATCTGGACTTCGCCAATCAATGATAGCCTGTGTTTATCTCATATATCAGTTTGTCAACACAAGCTGCTTTTATTCTACTCGAAGTTTGATCGCTATTTTAATCCAAGTTAGATAGTACCTTTACTTGAGTAAAACAACCTAACTGATTTAGGCTGTTTAAAGATCAGCTACCTTACCAATTTTTTTACTTTGTCATCCAGACTTCACCAAGAATTAATAGTACATTCCTTATTTCTGGTGAAAGCGTAGGAACTCGGGTCTTTCTCGATATTGAGTTAGATTTTTAAAGTAGTAATCGGAAAATAAGTTGGTAATAGTGCTATGGAGTAAGTCCTAACAAATATTTCTACATATATTTGAATTTCTACATAAATGTTTGTAGGATTTGTTTGGCAAGTTTTGTAATTAGCATAAAAGTCAACAGATCGGTTTATTATTATTCAAATGATTTCATATTTCTTACACATATTTTCATCTCATTTGAATTGAATTATTCTGAGTGTTGTAAACATTTGTAAAATGTTCATTAATTTTAACTTTTCATCAGATGTTTAAAAACTTAAGTAACATTTAACTTTTTGTCGATTAAATATATTTTTCTTTCTATTCAACAGTGAATATCTTGGTGACTTATTTGTACTCTGTTTAATCTTACAGACTTAATTTATTCAGAATGAGATTAAAAAGGGGGAAAGTGATTTTCTTACAGTTTATCTCTTAACTTTTTAAAATCAATTTTGTTGTAGTACTCTACATTCGGTAGGATTTTTTTTTGGAATTTTACATTTCACAATTTCATAACTAGAAACAGTATTTATTCAAGTTTACTTGTTTAGTACAAATAAAAAAAGAAAATTTTCATCAAATCAGTTATTATTTTATTAGGATGAATCTGAACACATTTCTCATATATTAACTAATTTTAAATCTTGGCTTTAAAAAAAATGTTTCTGTGTCTTCCATACATAGTTTTTTGCCTTGATTTTTTTCATTTTTGTCACAATATTAACATACACATATGTATACATAGAAACTTATTTTCTATAAATATTTAAATATACTTCTTAATTAATGCTATTTATTAAGGCTTACTTTTTTTGTACGTTTTCTACTCTTATTTACTAACTCAATATATTCAGGAGTTCATATTTTATTATGATTATAGCTGAATCGATTTCGATTAAAAATAATTCTGTTGGAACACACTTATTATGTAAATTTTATTTTAAATTTTTAAGTACAAGAACGTTTGGAGAAATTTGAAGATGGTGATCATTCAGAAACAATAACCTTGGTAAAAAAATGTAAGTTTTACATTTTGATAAATTCTCTATAGTTCCATTAGTTTCCAAGAGGATACTTTCTTGTACTATGTTGTGTTTATTTTTATCTTTAAAGAAATCCATTGATGAAATAAGAGCCTTCGATTGTTTGCATAAAGTAACACTGACTAACAGACCCGTGATAATAACATTTGACCTGATTTGAATCCGTTACTGAGATAGAAGTAATAAAAACAACTAAAGAGTACCGAGAATTGTTCTATGTTGTCTGAGTCTCCACAAGCAAGAGTCGTGGTGTCATTAACACTATGTATAGTTTTGGCGGCAAGCGTAATGTCTGAGGTTTTTATGTGGAACACTTTTGAAAACATTCTTGTCTACTAGTTTTTACACCAGCGTCCACCAAACAATCCTGTGCTCTATGTTCGGCGAATACTGGCCAACATAAAATTAAACTTACGACGGAATTTCGAAGCACTAAATTTCCTACAAGATACGTGACCTATATGCTCTGGTACGGCCGAGGGTGGAGAGAGTTAGCTCTTCCTCTCGAAATGCTCTCACATGGCCACGCGTATACAGCCACTGCCAGGGAAGTCCTACTCACCGCCTTCTCACGGCGGGGATGTTGTTTACGAAATTGTGAGGACAAGAAGGGAATTTCCGGCGCTTTAACCGGGTTGGTGGACACGGATGGCCCACCTAGGGGAACTGGGAAACCCTGATTCCAAACCAATGGTGTACATGGGCTCCAGTATCCTGAAGGAAAAAATGGCGTATGAACCAAGCGTTGATCACTGGCTACCATGGGACTGCATCTCATTACGTCGTTCCGTTGCTTTGTGAATCAGACCTTTAAGTCAAGGGCTCTGGGTGTGGCCTCTGAGAAAACTACCTGCTTCGGTTTTGGAACCCGGGCAGTATCACAGCCCTCACACAAATCAAGTGACTTGTGTGGCACATATGTATTCGGTGCCCCTTTCTACCAATATTTGTGTTCAAATGAATAAATAAATAACATGACCCAGACAAACACCAGATTTCGGGGTTGAGGGTTACATTCTGATCACGCAATAGATCTTGTATGCTTTGTTCTTTCATATAATTTTTTAGAATGTTACATTTTTTCACTTATTAGTAAGTGGGTTTCCTGTATATTAGTAATAAATATAACCATCTATTGAATGTGTTGTTGTCTATAAGCCCGGTGGACTGGTTTGTTAAGCTTTCATTGTTCTTCTGATCAACATTGGCACATACTTCAAAGAGAAACGAGCTATTAGAATTTCTCTGTTGATCTGAAAATTTGATTACTTGTTATCTATAACTGTATAATCTTTTCTTGTCTGTTTTTTTAAACTTTTTTCTCTTCTGATCTGAGATATGACTTTATGGTTGTTGATAACTTCTTAATGACTGATAGATTTGGCTAATTTCGATTTGTCTGCTGATTGATGCTTGATTGGAGTGCCAAGCTTTCAAAAATCCCCTTGTTTGTCTGATATTTCCTTTATCAAATACTTTAACGTTCTCTTGATCGAACTCATGTTCACAGTTATCTACATACATTGATGTTATAACGTCACGTTTTCCACGTGTACACGGATTGGACGTTAATTTGCTTTAGACGAATATCTACACTAGATTCCCTCTCAGTGTCTATTCTACAGAGCTTCAACACAACTCAGATCAAGAACACGTGATTAGCCTGACTAAAACGTAAATATATTTCCACTCCCAAAGCCGACAACAGTTCTACACAACCCAACAACAATACAATAATAATAAGGGTAAGAGAATATGTAACTCATCTAGCACCTGTCAGACTATCTACAACTCTGAATAAGCAAACAACCAATCATTATCGTCTTCGCCCACACGTCAATTGATATCAGCGAAACTATGTTGCATCGTCTAACAAATAACTGGTGTTCGTATAGACGTAGACGCAGAGGACAGCCACTTCGTCCTACATAATGTTTGTCACAGTTGTAGCGATTTATCTTGTATATGATCTCTGGCTTGTCTCAGTTGGTCGTTATGTCCTTTGGTTTGTCTTATATCCCGACGAGAATAATGAATGGTAAATGTTGCGATCTACTTATAGACTAATACTATACATATATTTTTATTGTGTAGTTGTTAAGTAACTAAACCACGTATATTCGTATTCCTCTTATTATAAGCTTTATTTTGACCTACAGACTTATCATATAATTCACTATTCTTAAGTTATGCCTAGTTTATTAATCACAGTTTCCCACAATCATAGTCACATTTTGGCTTGGTCTTGTGCAAATGTTATTTTCTATTTCTGGTGTGATGTGGTCTGTTTGGCTCGTATATAAACCGATTATGTTGGAAATATATGATTTATATCGCGGTGGCTGAGATGTGTTCTGGATTTAACAGGCAAGGAAAAAGATCAATCGGGGCTCTAGGCCGTTCGTTCAGGTGTATGTGTCATTTGTTGGTCGTATAAGTCCGCGTATCTAAATTTGGCAATCATATTCGCGGTAATCGTATAATTTAAGGATATAACAGTTTGCATAAAATTGTTTGCATCAATTTTATTTGCTTATGGGCTACACTTATTCTTAGTCGTCTTAATAATCTGTTATTGGTCCCAGAGATGTTCTTAATGTAGTGTAAAACTATTCGTCCGCTGATCTTTGTTGTTGGTTGTGTGTTAACCGTCGGTTCCATAAAGATTCTTTGGTGAAATTTTGTAGATAGCTATTTTTTCGAAATAAATCCATTAAGTATCTTCTTTCATTTCTCTACTTCTCATGGTAGTTAAGTAGGCTTTTTATTATGTCGGTTTGGGCAGCCGAATAGTGTCATTAGACCTCATATTTCGAGTGTGACTCGCGCCCAAGTACCTTGTAAGTTATTAGAGTAATAAATTACTTAAGTGAATTGGCGTATCATTAATTTAAAAATATATTAGATTGATGCCTAACCATGAAGCCATTCATTGTCAAACTAGGTGATATATTTGATCGAAATTTCGGAAAACAGTAAACTTTATCTTCCTCGACAATTCATGTACCATTTTTTCTTAATGATTGTAAATATGAATAGTTATATTGGAAAGTAGTTTCATCTCTGGTTGAGTATGCATTCCAGTCTCTTGTTTTGGTAACTTACGCTTTGAAATTTCATCCATTTGTTCTTTTACCCTATTAGTCAGTATATAAAGTCTTCGTAAATATGTTGATCGACTGTCAAGTTACAAACACAGTAAGCTTTTGATAAACGTCTAACCTTGAATAAAATAGTAAAAGACTAAAATATTCACCAGTAATGTTCAGCTTGTTGCTCACAAGATCGCCGTAATTTATGGTGGTTTAGCATACAAACATTTACACTATGGTAAAAATAGGTAAAGGTTCAGTGAATATACGTTAGAATTGCTAATTTCATCAAACCTTTTTTAGATATAAATCTTGTAGATCTATAGTTTTGTTTGTCGAAGATTCACTTTTCTGTCAGAAGATTTATTCCCTTTTTCAAAGATTGTTTGTAGTTTCAGTCGTTAATTTTTAAAACTTCATGTTAATACTTTTGTCCACTTCTTACATAGTGGGGGCAAGTATGCTGTCACAGCGTATCAAACAACAATATAAACAATCCACATCTCGTCTAGTTTCAAGTCTTCGTCAATCTACAGGTCATTCTTCCAGTAATATAGGTCAAGGATGCACATATTCGGTTACCCAGCCAGGAATAACAGCTACAACTTGTGTTGGTGTAACTTCAAATACTCTTTCTGTTGCCGTCAATAGTTCGTTAAATTATTCAGGGAATATTGCTTTGCCTAGTGGTGGTAGCACAACTGGACATGGGACAGCCATTTTTGCTGGAAGCTTTTCAGGACACAATGGAAATTTCCAGTTGATGAATCGAGTGGCTGGACATCGAGATGGTATATGGGAGGTTACTTCATTCAGGAGGTTTATTGCGACTGCATCTGCTGACAATACTGCTCGTCTTTGGATTAACGATGGTCAATTAAAGTAATAAGATATGGTGATTATATTTAACTTTAAATACATCTATTGTATACATTGATCATTTAATAATATTCCTATCATTGTTGCTTTGCAATTTTGAATTTGTGTTGTATGGTATTGTTTATAGATGTATAGCGCATGGTACTATATAATTGGGTGGAGAACTGAGACTTTTCTACTTATGTCTATTTCATTATTGAATCCTTCGACAATACAAATCGGTCCCAAGTTTGAGTTTAGAAATACATTAGCCTGAGTTTGATCGAATATGATTCATGGGTTAGTCGAAAGAAATAACGTTCATTTTTAGAATTATGCACAAGTAAACAAGTGCGTAAACAAACAGTTAAATCAATTAGAAATTTAAGTTTTCAAATGTAAATATTAACAAGTTGATGGATATCATTGATCAAGTTAATGTGGCATATATATACAATATGTCCTGAATCGTTCATTGCTTAAGTTACTTCTTATATTAGTGTATTTTATTGTGGGGCTCCTCAGTAGTGGTCATCCACGACCCCACAACTAGGAATCAAACCTGAAACCTTCGACCTTGTGGAAGAACCACTTAGCAATACCTAATGATGCACAATTCTAGCTTCAATCAATCCATGATATTGCCCAACAATCTTTCGTCGGTCTCGCTGGATATCCTTTTCACACTCGGAATGGTTCTGGGTTCTCTTCTCGGTTACGGGGTCGTGAATGCACACTGTTGAGGAGCCCCATAGTAGAAGGAAATGGCTGCACAGTGCTTTCATACTTTTACTGGTTATCATAGGTTGATTCGTGATCTTAATGAAATCCGATAACCTCCCCAACCCTAAACTGACAATTCTGTTTTTCTTGATACATACAATCTAATATCATCAATTGCCAACTACAGAGACTGTATTTGATCTTATGATTATGTACGAATATCTAATCACTAAGTATAGATACTTAATAGAACGTAAGGTCACTAGTGTTTCCGAATTTTATGTATCATTTTAGTATATGCGCTCAGATATGTGAAAATATTTTACATTTATTCTATGGTGTCACTGATTTAATTAGTCATTTAATATTCAGATGCTAGATATACATTGAAAGGTCATTTCGTGTGCTTTAATCTTTGCATATAGATAATATTTTTAACTTAATCATTATGACAAAAATCACCCCAGTTTCAGGAATTAACTTCCACTTTTTATTCGAACAACATTGTAGTAGGGTTTCATCATCATGACTCTGATAACTCTATATAAATATACTCATCCCTTTCTTACAAACATTTATGTGATCTTATAACGAAATTTTTCTCTCCATTTTTAAAAAATTATTTATTTTAGTTGTTTATTAGTCTATATGGGTCATTCAGGTTCAGTAAACTCTGTTCGATTTCGAAATAAAGACAGTTTAATGTTGACATCTAGTGGAGATGGAACTGCCCACCTTATTCGTTTGCCATTTGATTTAATAACTAAAGCTGCAACTTCACTTACAAGTGGAAACACATCAGGAGCTGCATTGGATGCCGTCGCCTCGGCTCTTGCTTCAGAAACTGCTGGAACAAGTCCTATGGGTTTGGGAATGAGTACAATTTCAGGTTCGTGATATTTTTATAGTTGGAATTTTTTTTACGCTAAACAATAACTAAATGATAATAAGAAATTTAGTGTTACTGTGTAATAGTTTTGTGGTGCTCTTGGGAGACTTTGATTGTTTAACCAACTTAATGAATGTCAACTCTAGACAGAAGTGGACTTCTTTCATCCCTTCACAAATATCATACCCAAGTACGTCTTTCTTGGTAATCTTATTTATTGCTACATTTGAAGCGAAAGTTAATAATGATATTCTCAAACTAATTTAGCCCACAGATCGTTTAACCTACTTCAAATATGCAGCTACTTAGATGAACTTAATAAATATTGTTTGGATATTTGTGGTACATATCCTAAATGCTTTATTTTAACACTTATAACGTTATTTAAAGGTGGTCAGCTAGTTCACGTAATTATCTGGCTATTTTAGTTTTCATGATAAGTAACGTGATAGTTTTACGTGCTTGTATTATTCGCACTTCAAATTTATTGTTCCTTCCAGCGTAATACTTCGACGTGTACAGATTCATTGCTACGCTAAATTTTTGTAGACTAAGACTAAGATTTCCCGTATTTGAAGCACTGACAATATAACTTGAATTTTGGGCATAATTTTTGTAGCATGACTGACTTGAGAAAAAACAAAATATCCTAAATGTCCATTATCTGTGTTGGCTGTCTTGGGGACGCGTGCATTTTTTGACTGTAGCAACCAATCAAATTAGTCTTAAGACTTGAAACTACTGTTACTTTTATGAGTAGTTTAAAACGTTATGCTCCAAAAAGCTTCGGATCGTATGGGTTGATCTTATCGTCAGAGGGCTGTAACATTCTAATCTACGTTCGTTTCTAGTTGGTAAGTTCAAATAATGTCTAGATTCTACCAACTAAACAAATTTTAGCTATAGGCTTAAGCTGTTCAGCTACTCAGTTTTTAAGATATTCAATTTGCACATTTTAGATAATGTAATATCCTTTTATATCTATCTTTTAAAATGTAGGAACTGCTATCAAGTCAGGGATTGATCCGGTTGGTTCGTATGATTCAGATGAAACGATGAATTTATTAGTTGGTTCTACAGAAGAAGGTAAATCTAATAACTAATCCTATTTTTATTCTATTTTTAACCTCATTCAAGTGTATTGCATAAAATTACTTTTTTCTTCGTTAATTGAATTTAAATATTTTTTGTTGTTCTGATCATTTAATGGTAAAGATCCTCCAGTTCGCATTGCCGCTATCCCACCTATCGCTGTTCGACATCCTCACGCAATATTTCAGTCTGCAAACTTATATTTATCATCATCTGGTACAGTTTGGAATTCTACTGGTGCTTCAGGATGCAATGTTATCGACTCATCACCTTTATCTGCTGCTGATTTTGTTTACGGGCGAGAACAGTTAGTGACAGCATCGTGGGATCGTCTAGGTAGAACATATGATCTTGCAACTGGACAAGAGCTAGAATCACTTACGGGACATGATGATCATTTGACAGATGTACGTTGTGAACCAGGTGGGTTTCCTGTTGTTGTCACGTCGTCAAGGGATTGTACATTTCGTTTGTGGGATTTTCGTCAACCAGGAATGCGGGTTCATGTTCAACAGGCCCATAGTCAGTAAGTTGTCTTTCATATTTCAAATACACACTATGTTTCGTTGATCTAATTTACTTGACTTCATTTTTTATGTTTATGTTTTTTGATTTTCTTTTCATATTTTCATACTCGTTATAAAACAACAGAACAGTTTCAACCACACAATTTTTGGCACCCGGTTCTCCTGAACGTCTTATAAGCGCTGGTGCTGATAGGTTTTGTCGTATTTGGGACTTGAGACAAAGCCGTGGTCCAGTTGTTAGCATTAGAACCGATGCAGCAATCAATCGCTTGGGTTTGTCTGGTTATGGACCAAGTGTGTCATATCAGCCAACAGAAACAATTAATCCTGCTCCAACTGTAATTGGATCGTCTTCCAGTGAAGCTCCATCTCAAGCCGCTCAACATGGGTCTGTGTTAAGTACTTCAGTTCATAATCCTTGTTCTTCCAGTTACCCCAAGTATATTGCTCTACCGCTGGTCAATCGAGGAATAAAGCTTCTTGATGTAAATGGCAACAGAATTGGTCGGTTAACTAGATCGTCACATGTGAGTTTCGATTATTTGCGTTTACGAAGGAGTAGTATTCCTTTTATTGATTAGCGTTTGAAATTTCCTCCTAAATTTTGTTACTATAGCTTTTTCAGCTAATTTCTTGTGTTATGTTGTTATTCTTATTGTTTTCACTGCAAAATTTCGAGGATATGAATCTTTTGAAAAGTTTCGTCTTATATAGTGTTTCCAGTTAACGGACTACAGTTATCATGTTTTTTTATCTGATATCAGTTAAATTGTTTTAGATCCTATCCCTTTTTAATTAGTGTGGAATGAATGCAGTAAGTTGGGAGTAATTTTTCTTGTCAGCTGTCTTCAACATAAAACCTAACACTAATGTTAGTCGATCCAATTCGCTACACTTTAAATCAGTAGAGCAAGAAGAAATCAAAAAGGTGAAAACCATAAGATTAGAAATACCATCGAAAACAGTTGAAGTCTGGACATCGTGAAGCACAGTTTAAGAGAACCAGATCGATGAATTAAGTATCAGGAATGGATTAACTCGAGATTTAGAGAAATGTAGCAGATGATTTTAGGTGAACCATTATGATTAATTTTGCCCCATGTTGCTTAACCAAAAAAACTGTTAATTACGAGTACCATAGGTCTTAACCGAGAAATCTCCACTTATCGACATAGCCCAGATCGTCAGTTAGTGTCTTTATGTATTAATACCATTTTTTGGTCTGGCCACTTTTAACCTCTTTCTAACCTACTTCTGTCAGATAGTATGACGCATTGGTCCAATCAGTGGTCAAACATATGTAATTGTCTGGGGAAAGTATATTCTCTGAACTGAGGCTCTAAAAGACTCGTCTAAGTGTTAGTCTGACTCTAATGGTAGTTAGCATAGTATGAATTAATAGTGCTAAATGAATTCACAAGTAGTTTATGTCTGAGGGATTCAGTATATTATTTAGAGTCAACGGAATAGATTATGATAAATATTAGTAGTCACTTTTTAAGCACTTTTGAAAATGAAAGCAAGTAATTTCTCTAATGTCATGTTTAAAAATCAATACTTCTAGGATTTTTATTAAACTAACGAGTGGTTAATATATTCGAGGTCCATTATATTTGTTCAAGTTTGATCAATCAAATAAAATGATTAGTTATGTTGCCTAGTTTATCATATATTTGTTGTATTATGCACATATTTTTATTTGAGTATTGTTTTAGTAATATTGTTGATATTTTGATCATTCTTCGTAAAAATAGCATTTTGAAATCTCAACTGACATATAATATTACAAACATTCATTTATCAAGTGGCTACAAAAATATTATAGAATAAAAACGATATTTCGAACTTTTTTCTAATTATTAATATTTTGTGTTTAAAACATTTCTTGATGTACAGGGTCATTCTCGTATGGTAACTTGTGTTGCATGGGCAAATGAAGGTGTTCACAATCTCTTCTCAACTGGTTTTGACGGTCTCTTATTAGCTTGGCAAATTCACATTGGAAATGTTTAGTATATAAATCTTTGAAATCTATTCTTTTACTGCAATAATTCGTCGACTTCAGTATTATGGTGGTTTTCTATTTCATGATATGATGTCATATGTGTATGGCTATACCTTTTACACTTTGTAAATACACTTTACACATATGTAAGATATCAACTACCTGTCTACTCATGTTTTCATAATGACAATGACTAATTTTCGTTTTTTTTCAAAGTAGTAATTTTCGCTTTATCTCATTTTCTTCATGTTACTGTGTCGTTATTAGTTGTCTAAAATATTTTCACTAGGAATGGTCAAGTCAATCTATTACTATTGTCTTCAATGTTTATTTGATCATTATTATTATTATTATTATTATTATTATTATTATTATTATTATTATTATTATTATTATTATTATTATTATTATTATTATTATCTCTACTATTCATTTTGTTATTACTTGTCTGCGAACAGATTGACTTTATATTTATTACTTATAAGGGTGTAAATATGTATTTATGGAATGTTTTGTTAGTAAAACAGATTGTTTTCAATATAAACAGATCAGTTATATATAATTTTAATCTCGCGGTTTAAGGGAAGACAAAGAGTGTATACACCTACACGATTGTGATCAATTTTGAGGCAGGTCACTCAGTCTCCAACCATCGGTTACGATAGTCACGCGGACCCCAACCAAGTAGTCTGCACCTACCAACATGGTCCGGATCAGGAGTTAGTGACTTCAAGCACTGACGCCACTTTTTGGTTTGACCACCCCTAACTTTCTTCCAACCATCTCCAGCATTGCACATCGTGGTAATCGCTGTTCAGGCATACGTAATACGTGGCCCAACCATCCCAGTCGATGAAAATTCACAACCTCACCAACTGATTTACCACCATTCCATAATACTCTACATCTAACCTCACTATTACTTACTCGGTGATCCCAGCAGATGCTGGCAGTATTTCTAAGTCATCTGTGGTCAAATAATAGTAGCTTACGAATATCTTCTACCCTTAATGACCATGTCTTGCATCCGTAAAGTAGAACAGGACGAACTGCCTTAATTGAATTCAGGTTTACTTCGATAAAATCTAACTGTTCGTTTTTGTTGATAGTTGTGCAAAATTGTTCTGTTTCATTTCCGATTCACAAAGTGTTCCTAATATTTTCCTTTTGAGACTTTATTACATGCCAGTAGATTTTTCTTCTTCAGTCATGGGCGTTAGCTCTGAAATACGATTAATCCCAAGGGGCTGTAGCCTGTCGATATTAGTTAAAATTGATAAAGCTGTTCTAATCAGAAACAACATTTGTTCTAACACATACTTTTTTGGAATGAGGAGCTGTACTGAGACTGTTATAAGAAGTACGTAGTTCGGCAAAGCCAATTTATAAACTAAATCCTAAGAAAATAATCTTAATTGGTTTGTAAATTGAACCGTGTTTTAAAAGTAATATAAAATTAGTGTAAAACATGACAATAGGCAGGAGGAACGTATAATAGCTTCTGGACGTTAAAAAGTATTTACTTAATCCATATGCATAACATTCAATCATCTATTTGTATCTTTCGGTGTGCTCTGTAGTCTGAACCATCTCATCTGGCCCTCAAGTGTTCTCCCAACTTCGTGCTTTCGATTCACTGAAACTCTTCACTCCGTTTGACAACTGTTGCAACTTCGAAGCCACGTTTTGCTAAACACTACTTACTAACAATCTTGCGAGTAGTGTCCAGTATAGGAGCACTGTTTGTTGCCTTGTTGCTCTTCTCTTGATTAGATTAAGTTAATTCAACAGTTAATCATCACCGATATTTTTGTTTATGCGGATAAAGGTATCATACAGTTGAGAATGATCCACTCCCAATGTTTATGATTTATGGACCAACGGAGATTTAACTAATTTGTGAAGCCGTAACAAAATTTCGTACTAAATGCTTTATGTCATTTACAAGTTTTTGTTTGATTATACTAAGTGTCAAATGAATTTGAAGCATAGTTAAAAGAATACTTATTCGATTTATCATTGAGTTGATGAAGACCCGTGTTCTAGTAATTTCAATAGACAATCCTGAATGTGATCATCTATTTTAGGTCACACTGCATTTTGAAAATTTCTTCGAGAGACGTCAACATACTTTAATTAGCATAAATCAGTTTTGGATTATGGTAAGAAAACTGTCAAACTATGGTTAGTGAATACCAAATAAAACTAATTTACTGACGAAACTTCAAGAATTATAAGCTGATTATCCATGCTTCTTTGGTTCAGTTCATTTAGTGGTTGGTAAAAAACACAAAATGAAACACATTTTACTAAATTGTCTCAGCAGTAAGAACTGCATTAGTCAAATATAACGCCAATGAAGTCAGTAAAAATTAATCATCTTTCTGTTATCTAGCTTAGTAGAATTCACGTTTATGATAAACTAAACTCCATACAAACAAGTGGAGTTAATAAAGTCACATGATAGACCAATGCTTGTCAGATGCACACTTTAATGGTTAGTTGAATTAATCAACTAAGTTGTTGTCCAAATAATCTCTGTCTAGGTTATTCCTTCTGCTTATTAATCCGCATGAGCTATTTGGTACTAAAACTCCATGTTTTAGTTATTTTTCGTGTGTTTAGTTGCGTCAGTCGTATATGAATTTTATTTTACCCAAAAAATAATCGGAATTTTTATATACACATGCGTTGGTTATAAAGATATTCACACTAAACTTATGAAACATGTTAGACTATGACGAGCTCACATTTATTCAAGGTTGGAAATGAACCTAAAAGTTTGCTTTCAATGTTGTGAGTTTTTGTGATATAAGCAAGTACGGTTTTAGGGTCATATATGATAAAGTATTATGCCGATTTGACTGTATTTTACATATTGGTCTTAAATCTATTAAAATTTTTGTGAATGAAACTAGGCAGGGTACGTTCGATCAATGATCTTATAAATAATTTTGCCGTTTGTAATTCTAAATCCATACATATTAATCTTGACTTAGAGTAGGATCGTCTGGATTTGGGAAATTTTATTACATTTCCTCAGGATTGCTCTGTTGAAATAGAACCTGCTGTTATACATCAAGAAATTTTTTAATCAAGACCAAATTAATTGCCAGTTTCTTTTCATCAGGAACAAATTGACCCTATCTTGAACAATTTTTCCAACTTTATTGGAATGAATTATGTAGGAAGAAAGTTAAGCTTACATTGTTATATATATATATATATATATATATCCGGTTTTTAATGATATTGTATGATTGTTCATTTGGCGTTCTGAGTACCGACACATGCGGACGTGGTTTATTTCACTTCAACCACGCGAACAATTGATCATCAATAATCTCGTTATTTTATCTATTTATTATCGTACATTAACGCAGACTGATTATTTAACGTCCTGCTCATGAAAAAACCAGGCTCATTGATTATTAAATGCTCCTACCATAAAGTTGACTATGATATTTAACTTGACGATATCTTATCTGATTAATGTTTGATTTTAGAAATCAGTAAATGAGTAGTCACAAAACCCTGCTTCAGATATTTCCAGACAGATGATTTTGTCGATCGACTGAATTTCTTTCTCTAACTCGTATTAAGATTCTTATGTTATATACATTAGTTTGATCCATAGTCTATATATATCATTTTACTGGAAATTAGCATCAACATGAAATATAGCAATTCATTATCAGTCATGTTTAATAATTTATGCGTAAAATGTTACGTGATGACAAAACGTAGTGTGCTTGTGATCAAATTGGGGATTATATATGTATCAATCCGCAGTTGTTAATAAATTGAGTAATTTCGGAAGTGCCATAATCCTTTTCACACATTTCAACGACTTGACAACACATAACTACTTGTTACATTCAGTAGTATAATCTCAAAAATTTTCCAAATATATATGTATAATTTACAAAGGAAAATAAGAATATTTTTATTGCTAATAAGTGATTATTTTGCTTGAGGCATTAAGTAACAAATTATCTAATTCAATGGCATGATTATACAATATATAGTGCGAACTATCCTTTATTGTAATCTTTAATGCTAAAATTTCATTAGGTAACTTATTCAAGAAAATTGACTGAAAACTGTGAACAGATGAGATAAATTTACAGTTTGGTAGTGAATATTCTGGATTGTAATTTTTTTATTTAAAATTTGATGATTCTAAATCAAAATATTCCTAGCGAATAACCGGAGGTAATTTTGCAAATCTCTCTTAAATAGTCAGTAAATTTATTTAGCAAGTACAGATACTCTCTGAGCCGCTCTTTTTTTGTGTATATTTAGGTTAGCGATGCTAATAAACAGACACCAAGATGAAGTAGGTACAACGAAATCATAATTCAATGTTATGACAATTGCTTGGTACATTAAGTGAATCAGTGATATGTCAAGTAATTAATGCACGTGATTAACCTAAATGTAACTTTAATTTTTAAGGAATAAAAACTACCATTATTGGCCTAATTTTCCAAGGGATATATATATATATATACCGACTCGGTCAACTAATAAAGAGTCTCCTTTTAACCGATGTAGCCGGTTACGCTTGTCCATACATCGAAAAGTTGAGTGTCGATTTTAGTATCGAACAGTACACTTTGAAAAACTGGCCATTACCATTACCACACTTCAATTACTTGACAAAATGTTGATTTTACATAAACAGTTTTCATCATATAAATGTTATTTTAAATACAAAATAGGTAAATATCTAATGTTTAAATTTTCAATCAATAATTCAACTGTCAACTTAGAACTGTGACTTAAGAATGTTCATGACATCTCAACAATGTACCATTGAGTTAATCCGAAAAGAAAAAAACAATTACCATGTTACCAAATATTTCATAGTTATATGTGAATGGAAACTGTCATTAAATTAGTTATATCATGGATGATTGTTATCAATATTATTAAACATTATTATTATTATTCTAATTATGTACCCTAATCATGATCAGAAAGTCATAAACATTTACATTATCTATTAGTGAAACTATAATTAGTTAACTAACTGATTTATATTGATGATAATAATGAGATTTTTATTGATAATATAAAATGAAAATTTGGAGTTTAACTGAATGTTATTACCAATTAATTAAAGTATTCAGTTTCAGCTGTTCATTGTATTTTACGGGGGAAATATATACCATATGTTTTTAGTTCACAAATGTTTTCGCAAAAAAATTTTTATTTTGTTGTTTTTGAATATTGATGGAATAAAAAAAGGTATGGATATATGAATAGATTCATTTATTACATTGGCATATTATTCAACCTTGATAAGTGCTGTTGATTTATGCATTGAATATAGTTTCCTTGACGATCAAATATAAGATATTTATTCTTTGAAGATAATACTTTCGTGTATATATAAGATT